GGCTTAGGTGCAGTAGTGAGAGTAGTATATTCCTATGCCTGTTTATGTTCGTTGTGTTGACTTTGCAATTCTTCAAGTACAATGTATATTTGGTGCAGAGCACTGAAGTCTTTTGATATGTAGTACATCCATTTTGGTTTTCGCAGCCTAGACCTAGTCCTTTGGTTGGGGTAGGGAGTAACTGATTTCCAAGCAATTTTAAATAGGATAATATTGTATATTGCAGATTTGAATATTTGCAATGTTTATAAGAGCTTATCACTGGTAAAGTCACTGCTCCAGTCAGAATCCTTTATTAGAAATTGAAAGTGTACCCAGTCAACGTACGCAGAGCATCTATTGTTGAGAACGCGTATTTATTGTCCTGCATTAGTTGCACTTGGAAAGAATCGGCAGAGTGTAGCGGGCTATTTTATGATCGCTGCTGTGTAACTTTCCGCTAACTACCACAAATGTTGATGTTACATTGTGACAGAATATCAAGTCGAGAATGTTGTGGTTACATTTTGGTAGGTGTACATGTTTCTGCCAACCATGTATGTATAAGAGACAAAGTATGCTTTCAAAACACAATAGGATATAATATGTCTTCCAGTTGATAGTTGGAAGGTTGAAACCACCACAAATAATTTTGCAGGAAAAATCAAGGTAGGCAGCCTTAGCAAATGACTTGCTTATAGTGGTGTCAGTTGAACTAGGAGTATTAAAAGCTCATGGGTGTCTAGTTGGAGGTATGAGCTTGTGACATCGGAGAACAAACAACTTTCCTGTTACCAAAACAAGTGAAGGGTTGTTTAGAAGTTACAGGGTGCGTAGGTGAGTCATCTTAATTCGTACAGATCGAGCATTGATTAACATTGGCGTCAGGTACGGTTAATGGATTGTCTGTTTTGTCATGAGGAGAAGAGAAAGGACTAGGAGTACTGGCTCCATATTCGTGTTTGTTTGGTTTAATACCACTATGGCCAATAGGTGGAAGATAGTTTGAGGGTAGTTTGGCGAAAGAAGCATGTTTGGTAATGACAGGTAGAGTAGAATGGGTCGGATTGATAGACAGTGTATTAAGGTAGTCTTAAGGGGGTCAAGTCAAGGAGTTTTCAAGGCTAGGGACATTTATCGATAAAGAGGAAGGTATGTCACTTCTTATTAGGTCGGCGTATATAGAGGATGGTCATAAAATAGTGGGATTATCGCTCTCAATGTCTGGAGACCCCATTGCAGCGCTTTCGAGGGTGATAGAGATGAAAAAGGATGAGGTGGTGTATATGTCGATTAGAGGAGATCAAATGGTTGCGTAGTGTAGCTTGACTTTGACGGTAGCTAGAATCATCAGATGGGTTCCCAACTAGGTCAGCGTTACGGTTTCCTTGTATTCTGTGCGAAATTTTGGTCCTCTTGTGGGTAGTTGGACAGACCGTATTTTTGAGGTTGGAAATGGGAAATCTCCTGAGACTGTTGCCAAGAGAAGTGTTCGTGTTGTTTATGGTTGTGTACTAGTTTCTGGAGCTTTTGGTGTTCAATCTATAAGGCTCAAGAGAATGGAAGCCTTTTTGTGTTCATATAAGTAGTGGAATATTAGTAACTTTATTTGCGTATGATAAAACGAAGGACACCAATGAACAGAAATCGGGGTACGAAATTAAAATAATTAAATTGCGAAAAACAGTTCAGCTTGGAAAAGTACAGCTGTGAAAAGTACTTTCAGTAAAGGGGGTACGTCCATTTCTTTGAATTCATGAGTCGATCTAATCTAGATCACCACCGAAAACGAGGAATCAATGGGTTACCTCTTCGTTTTAGCACGGTACTCATCAGCAGTGTGTACAATTCCGCACGTGCGACTAGAACCTAGGACTTTGAGTCTCGCACGGGAACGTCTAACCATCAGACTGACGGAATGGCGGTAGGCAGACAACTTACTAATCTCATGGATTTGGATTAACAGTAACCGATCAGAAAAAGTTCATAATGTCCTAAATTATTGCTAGTCTCTCGATATTTTGTTTTCTTATTCTGGAAAGTTTGCAATTGTAAACTCTTGCATATTCTTTGATTTGCTATCTATCGTACCATTTATAAACTGCAGATAATCTGACCTGTGTTTTTAATTTTCACCATTAGTTATCTTCATAGCAGTGTGATATAGTAAATGTATATCTAACACACAATGCAAAAGATCCAACCATCTGAATTGCTTGTATTATAGAACTAGTATAGACAGTGTATTCCAAAAAGGAGTTTATATGAAATCAATATTCATATGCAACACACATATAACATTACAAAAAGGGAACGTGGCGTTACTGACCAGAAAACATGATGATGGGGAGATAAGTTCAATCCACACATATCTTCATGGCAAAACGTGTTAAATTACGGCTTCTTATTGTCAAGTAGAAGGTTACGAATCAATAATATAGATGCTAATTTACTCTGCAAATTACCTCGTTAAATCATGTTTACAACGTTGAATTGGTCTCACTTCCTACTGTGTAATTCTATTACAAGGAAAACTAGACAATTTGCCAAAATCGAAGCCTGCTGATGACCCTAAAAAATCGACAAAAAAGACAGATGGCCATTTGTATGTCAGAATACTGTCTTCAGTAATATCCTTTAAAACTACACATAATTCTACACTTTCGGCTTTTTTATGCCACTTTCATTTATGCAGTTCTTTGTCCACTCACACCATATTTGTGCTTATCTTCTTCAACCTATTAGAATGCTCATGCTGGAAATGTATCTTAATAATAGTAAATTAGACTAAATAGTCATACATTCATTATTTCATCACAAATGACTCAACTTCAATAAGCAATGTCGCAACACAACCTCCGTAAAGAGCGCCGACTGTCGTACTGACTTTACGAATCATAATAATATTATTTGCATTCCTTTTTCTTGTACCATTTTTCAGCCCCCTTGAGATACGGAACGGGTGACCTCGTCCTGCATCATCCTTAAAGCCTCAAATATTCCAATGGGATATAAATTTGCGATTTCTATAAGCCCTCAACTTCACATGAATCTATTATCGACCATCAGCTGCACGTCGCAATGCAACTTTCATGAAGCGCGCCAACCGTGATATTGACTAAAGCCATTCTACACTCATATCTTATAAATTATCGACCCAGATGAGTAATTTACTACAGTTGGAGATTGTATCATTCGTAACGATTTGATCTTGCCTGTAAACTGGCATGCCCCATGTAACAAACTGTTATTTGAGAATAAATTAATATTATTATAAGAAGAGATGTGTTAACCCCATAATTTTATGATCAGCGTACCTTATAGAATATCAAACTAGCTGAGCAACACAACACAGTGAGGACTGTATCTTTCGTAACGATTTGATCTTTCTTGTAAACTGGCACGCCTTATATAACAGACTGTTATTTGAGTATAATACTGTGATATGTGAAAGTAGATATAAAATCTATTAGAATTCTGTTATTTTAAGGGCGGCTGATTTGAAACAAGATGGATGTATGCAGCGGTATATTTGTGAGTGACGATCAGTGTTTTATGTTACGTGGAATTCAAAAAGGAAAACGGAGTGGAAGATCAAAGGCCCTGTTTTTCAAACAACAGTTTTACACTCAAGGATGGTAAACGGGCGAATTCCGAGGATTAATAGAAAATGCGAATCACAGAAAAAACAATTGCAAAAGAAGTATGTTTTAACTATTCCCACAAACTCCTAGTCAAACCAGCTGGAACGACGGATGCGTTCAAGCAATATAGCTCTCCTGAGGTTATGAAGTAAGCTGGTGGGAGTATTGATTGAATGTGATGGTCCAGACGCATATTGGGCTATAGAACAACACCCGTGAGACAGAAAACATTCGTTTGATGTGCAAAGACATTTAGGCTGGATGATTTTAGGTCGCGAGGGAGAATATAGATCAATACAACAAGATAAATGGCCTCATTGTACTCTAGCCAGTCATGTATACGAGGGCTTGAATGAAATTACCGAACTCGAACACGCCAATACCTGACATCTCAAGCTACCCTACAAATTGAGGTCTTCCTAATTGTTTCTTCTTAAGTAATGCCTTACTTATGAGAATAAATCTGACGAAGGCTCACACTAGGCTATAGGGGAATAAATAGTGACCCGATAGTGGACTCAGTATACCAAGCACTCCAAGTCACCCCAACGCAAACTCTCTCTAACGTAACGTGATCACCACACTTCTAGAGGCAACTCCCGAGAAATCGAATACCAAAGACCAGAGACACACACATTGTCCCGTTAAAAGTTGCTGCCTTTGGAATTCTCCAATAGCCGAAGTGACCGCGTACCCCGTAATGGATAGCAACGAGAAGTGACTCGACAAACACGCTTACCTTTCTCTTGAACCAGCTGTATCTGACGCATGCCTCATGGCTTGTCTGCCGTTATCGTTATTAAATATCAGTAACTACTTCCTATCTCGTTCATTAATATAGACATCTATAATTACAAATCAGTCTCACACTCTACGCCTTACCGATTAACTAAAACTACAAGATATAAAAACGCACAAACAAATGTCAAAGCGACTAGATTCAGTGCAGTCATTTGACTGTGATTCCACCCATTGAAACTTACCTAATGCCTGGAACAATACCGAACCAAAGATAATCGAGAGCAAATAAATCAATCGGTTTGTACGAGCCCGCAATAAATGCAATAAAAATGCATAAGACACACAAGGTGTCTTTTTAATGGGCATGGTAGGGTAGAGTGGTCAAAATGTCTAATAACAAAGAACTGGTAAGGTTAGTTAACACCGGGAATCAACTGTAAAAATGAAGAAAATTAATAGTAGCTCGTCACAAAGATAGTTGGTATTTGAAATAGAGCGACTTAAAAATGTGATTGCTTGCCCTCATGTTGAATTAATGCAAAAAGATACATGGAGATATTGCTTGCTTACCTATTTTGTTTTAACCATTGAAACATTTTATTAGGTCATTGTGAAGGGTCGATGCTCTGCCGCATCACTTTTGGTTTGTGAAATATGTATGCACTTCATGTGAACGTGAAGAAAGCCAATAACTTGAAAAATATCGAAATCTCAGGGAAGAGTGACCCTTACGTCGTTGTCGATTTTCAAGGTATTAAATAATAACGTTGACTTATATATTATATTGTGGTTTTGCAACGTATGATTTCTGTCAAAAATATCAAACCAGTGTTTTTAAGTTTATAACAGAGTTTTGCATTACTAGAACATAATACCGAGGTTTTTGGTGTTCTTTTGTAACATTCTTCTACGAAATAAATGCTTGATAAACTTTTCTTTAGGAGGAAAAGCAATTTATTGTTATTATTTGATAAAGTAGAGGTTGGTACAGCAATTACTTACATCTAGCATTTGTTTTTAGTTGACTTTTTATTTGTTTGATGGATGAAAATGTTTACAATGTGTGAAAGTGATGAATAAAATGTATATGTTTCATAATACTTGACTCAATTTTTTAAAGCTCATTTATACAATCTAAGTTTATTTTTATCCCGTGAAATTTTATTTCTATCTATTCTAACGTTGATTTAATCTTTCTTACTGATCATTGCAAAATGAGCGGTTAGTTTATTTGTTGAAAATAGTATTATCGAGTCATATGCTAGAAGGAAGTAGCTCTCCTTTGCTTCCCGGTTTTCAGTGGTTGTTTAGCTAAGGTTATTCTTTGGTATAAAACTATAAGATACAATAATCTCCACAAAGCTCCCATACTAAGTGTTACACAATAGCTTAGTTCTTTATAAAAAAAGTAACATATACCAACTCACTAGGTTTATCCAGTTTTTAGTCATTCTAATGACTAAACTCAAGTCTGTACAAGATTCCGAAAAATCGCTGGGCTACAGTGACCAAAATGTAGTTGAACACTTGTTTTTCATAATTATTTTGTCATAAACACTAGAAAGCTTAATAGTTTGTGATGAAAAGTTGTTTTGCTTGGAAACGGAATAACAATAATACCATTATCAGGATATGCAAATTACGTTCTAATCCTATATTAGTGCATACTAGTGAACTTTTATATTTCATAGCGATTAATGCATCACTAATAGTTATATATATTAAAATGTGATAATTGCTAAGATTTTTAGATCTGAAGATAGCTTGTATTACATTGTATGATCAATCATTGAGCAGAATGAACTTGACATTGAGAAAATCTTAAAATCGAGAATTATGCCTGCAATATGGACTTTTCGAGAAGCCACGATATAGCTTGCAGCTGTAAGCGAAATATATATTTCCGGATTGTTATAATGCATAACGTATTAGTTACTGAAGCAATAGATGCTGAGCTTGAGTCTCAGTATATAAACTCCAACGACACTAAGATGAACGTACATTCAATTAGAAATTTGCAGATAGTAAAATGCTTCTCCTGGTTTTCCATGTTTATTAAGTGCTTTTTAATTTACTTATAATTAATTACCATGGGACACTAACTTAATGGTTTTAGTGACTAAGCGTCCTCACCAATACCCGAAGCTATTGGATTCGCTTCCTCGTGGGGTCGTGAGTTCACAATACTGCATAATCGTGTACTAGGATAAAACAGTTGCTTAATAATTTCCGGTTTTAATTGTTGATTCAACTGAGATCAATTCACTATGAATACCATTTACATTTATCTAATTAACTGGATGAGTTAATAAACTCCTGTAAACCCCTCTAATGCCTGGCTTGCGTATATACGTGTTGTGTTCATTCATAAGTTAGCAAATTATTAACTCTTCTGACAACAATATTTCAGTTTATGAATGAAAGATTTTCAACAACTTATATAATATTCAGTCTACTATATATATATATATATATATATATATATATATATATATATATATATATATATATAAACAGTAGACTATATTCAGTTCACATCGAAAAAAAGTTGATGTACATCAAAAATACATAACAGTAAATAAGTATGAGATGTCCTAAATTTATTTGTTACATGAAAAATACTTTTTAAATACAAGTTTATATAAATTTTATCAAATTATAAATTGAATTATTAAACATGATTATTCGTGTTCACTGTATTTGATCTATCAATGAAGATATTGTTATTGATAAAATCAGAACATTGCAGTGAAAATGAATAATGAAATAATTTTCTTTAATACTTCTTTTGTGATGTGTTATTTAGTTATAAAAACAAGTAAACAAAGATGAAAGTGTAAAATTTGTTGTTCAATAATTTTAGAATTTATTCATATATAGAAACTGATTGTTTGTATTTGTTTGAAAAGAATAAGTGGCCAAATAAATAAAAATTAAAGAGATAATTACTAACAGATTCAACGTTTACTTGTTTTGATGAATATCAACTTGTTGATAAATTTTTCCTGAAGTGTGAATTTTTGAATTAATCAGACCATATTACAAATTGATCTATAGAATCCCATTATCATTAATGACTAGACAAGTGGGATATTGGTCACTACTGGGTGATCAATTGATGTAAATATATAAGTCCTACAAGAGATTACTTATTTACTAGTAACATTTCGGACCAAATATGGTTGAAACAGGGATCGTCATTAACCTCGAAACTGAAAATACGCTTTTCTGGCAAGTATCAACTATTGCGAAGTATTGATTCAGAGTTTTCTTTCGACTACCTCCATCCATCCAACATACCATCAATAATTACAGTCAACAGTCTATTTAAACTGTAGTTTTTATCGATTCAAAAGTCCCCATTTAAACGTCAAAGATACAATGTATGCGAAATAAAATTTCCGTCAAAAAATATCCTTTCACACAGCACTTTTATTTTAATTTTTGACATTTTTTGAGATATACATAGTTGATATAATTCACTAGCCAAGTACTTGGATTTTAGGAATACATTTTATGCATGAAGATTAGTGATACTATTTGTTTGTTTAGATAGAATTCAAAGACAAACATATCAGTGAAATACTTCACTTCAATTGGTTTTGTGCCAAACCTCTACACTAATGTATATGTGATTTACAATAATGAAATACTGATGATCGAGCAGTAGAGTTAAATAATAATGTTGTAATTTCATAAATAATTATGAAAGTAACGTCGAATGAGTAACTAAATAACTGAAAGAGGGAGGATTAAGTACTCGGAATAGTCGAAGTAATTATTAGTGATAACTGAAAACAAGTAAATCGACGGTTACCAGATTGGATATTTTATAATAAGATGAACAGGGTATTTTGGTGATTTATGAAAAGTATGAACTGCACCCGTAGCTTGATGATTGAAAATATAGTACCTTAACAACAAAGTAACAGCTCTATAGTTGTGTATACTGCCAGCGTGTTCTTCATTAGATAATTCAAAGTTACATTTACGAACAAAAAGCTGTTGGCTTTTTACTGTCATCTTTCATTTTCATTGAATTACTCTCGGTTTGATGTATATGATTAATACAAGCATATTATGAGTGTAAATGGTCAAAATCCTGACGTTTACGATTTATGTTCACCTAAAAATCCTAATAAGTAAAATTTCCTCCTTATCGAAAAATATCATTCTGTTAATCTTAACACCTATAGCTTCTATAGCTTCATAACATACATGCAATTGAATTCAAGACACCGATGTTAAGTTAATTCACCTTATCATTTGGCTCATCAATAAATCTTTTATATTCATATTGAAAGCTTTCAGATTTCTTGTGATTAACTGAAACCAGTGAGTATTTTGGCACCGTATAGAGTAGCCAATATAGGTCGAAATTTGTCTTTATTCAGATCCCTGCTAATTTGCACTGAATTACTATAGCTATCTTCAGTTTCATTCTTGATAATTAGGTAAAAAATGTTCCTAGTTAAATTTTTTCATAAGTATTAAATTGATTCTATCCTCTGAAGTCTGTTTGATAAGTATTCTAGTTTGATTTTATGAGTAAATTACATGAACAAACTTGTCAGTCATACTTATTGGCTTTATCAAACCCATATAGCAACTAACAATATTTTATGTAGAAATGCAAATAAACTAATCAACAAACAATTACCACATATTTTTATGTACTTATTTTCCCTGTTTTTAGGACAAAAACAGAAAACAAAAGTTATAGATGACGATTTGAATCCGGTATGGGACGAGGTAGATAATAATTCCTCCACGAAATTAAACATTCAATCAAACTCATTTTTAAATCAAATAGGAAATAATAATCGATTTAAAAGGAAAACCTTTAGCTGCTTCCGACAATGTACTGATCAAAGTAATGGATTTCGACAAAGTTACACCAGACAAGTAAGCAATGTATATATATATATATATATATATATATATATATATATATATACCAATTTTATCTATTAAATGCCGGCTTCCTACTCCTTGGAGTTTTTGAAAACAGTGTCGCGTCAAAACGATCAATATAACATATTCGGTAACGGGTTATAAATATCCATAGGACTTGTCATCCATATATATATATATATATATATATATATACCGAATATGTTATATTGATCGTTTTGACGCGACACTGTTTTCAAAAACTCCAAGGAGTAGGAAGCCGGCATTTAATAGATAAAATTGGTAAATGAAAAGACTTGATTAAAAATCAAATGCATCTATCATAGACAGTATATTAAACTTAGTTGTTGGTTACTTTGGAAAGAACTTTATCAATGTTTTCTCACTCATTTTTAAGTGATATTACTTCAATGAGTGGTCTCCATATTCTACTATTTGATAACTCTCGTACGCACCATAGATACAAGATGAAAAATCCCATTAGTCTGATTATTGATATGTGCTAAAACACCCAAATTGTGTTGCTACAAACAGGACTCATTTGATATCTCTTTACATATATATTATCTTCTTTTTCTACGTAGTCTACACCATTTCTCGCCTTACATCTAACGTTCCTCCCGCCAAACATTTCATTAATGCTAAAAGTTCTTATTTAGTAAAGTCTTTTATTTCCAATAACTCATAGTCTAGATTCTGATTACCAGTTGTTTGTGTGAAAATATGACACGACCAAAAATAATAAAGCAGTATTTTTTTTTTCGTTATTTCTACATGGACAAATGATTGCACAGTATCATGGGTCGATTGAAGTTAGATATTAACACCGTTGAATGTCGGCTCAATCGTTTAGAGATTGAGCATTCACCTGCGAGACCGAAAGTCCTGGGTTCGAGTCCCACGTGAGGGATCGTGGATGAAATGACTACCCGGTGATTCCAGGTTTCCAATGGTGGTCTAGATTAGATGGACTTGTGGACTAAATTTTGAAAATACTACAACCTCCACGAATTCCCAAACAATTTTCTATATATCTTTCAATGAATTTCAAGCAAAATTTCAGTAAAGGCAAGTTCTGCCACTAGATAAATAGTCCTTTCTATTAGGGACATTTAGCGGACATTTCTGTGGTAGCAAGAGAGATGAACGCACAAATCAAACTTTTAATAGAAAGTTGTTATCTTTATCTGTGTAAATTTGTCATTCACTTGTCAAGAAATGTCGTTCGTCACCTTCATCTGTGAAGAGATCATGAATTAATTATAGATAACACCATCAGCAAAATCATTACCTATGTTCTGTCTTGTACGGTCTGTCTGTGACGTAAGCATAGACTTAAAAATGTTATATTCCAGTAAACGATTTATGACGTAGACGTGAACAAAACTGTCTCTTTTTACCATTTGCCTGTAGTTAAATTGACTTCTCTGACCAGCATTTCTGTCGTCCTAAATAAATTGATGTGATTAAGTTGGCTTCACATAAGGTTGTGGTTAAACATTAAATCGAGGTAGATTCATGTCTGTATGTCACTTTGAGTTCAAGCTATTGACAATTAACTGGTTGAACCCATAAGATTCTTGAGATTGCAATAATTAAATAAGTAATTATTAGCAACATTTCAGTTTTGTCCTGAGGAATGAAGATAAATATGTTTGTATAATATATTCCATTTTTATTTAGATTCATGGGACAAGCGTTGATTCCGTTACATTGTGTTTTGTCAACAACAGTTGAAGTACCTATTTGTGTGGTACTACAGAATAAAAAACATCAAGATACTATGGTAAGTTGTTAAGAACCACAATAGTCCTCTTTTTTCCGTATGATTACATTTGTAGACGCTCAGTTCTGAAGCGTCACACTTTAAATGTGAAAATCATTTTGTGGCTTGCTCAAACATCTGGGTTATCTATTTTCTCATTGTTAAAAGAAGATGGCAAAGTTTTACACTTGCTTTAAATAAACACTTATGTGTCCTAACCTGATATACTCATCTGCTCTTATAAAGTGATTGCAACCCACTATAAAATCATTTACTCAAAAATGTAAACATAACTATGACCATCGTAGGTGCATTTTTCCCATTGTTTTTTAGATGGAGAGACGAAGAGTTACACTGAAATCAATACATCATATAGATTACGCAACAGAAAAAGGTACGAGAGATGAAACACTGGTTAAAAACATTTGTAGATGAAAATAACTAAAACACAATTATTACTATAAAGCTTTCTTCACTGGCAAATTCAAAGAATATAAGATAGGAAATTGTTATGTTATTCTGAGTAGTTAAATGTTAAGAATTCTGATGAAATTTCATTCATAAGTTGTACTACTGTAGACAAAGTTGAAATGACTAACAAAAGTGAAGTAAAAGCGGTTAGTCTGAGTCTTTGATTGTCTGTGTTGACCAATCGTTTACTGCTTGACACATCATAGCATTTATGAATGAATATTTTTCTATTCTAATTAAGACTTCATTTAGTTTATTCTAGATGGAGCAAAAGATTTTGAGCAAGGGATTATTATTTTAAAAATTTGAATTCTTGGAATTCTGGTGATATATCACCTTGAACAGGCTTTAAAAATGTCAGAGTAATAGAAAATCTAGGATGATACCAATTCATTTCAAATGCAAACTAATTTCTATAAATATATAAAACTAACTATTTTTACATGTTCTATATGATTATAGCCTCTCGATCTTATTTTCGCTTCTACATAAATTGAACTTGTATTAGAATGAGTTTAAAAAAATCACATTTGTAAAACATCTTATGAATGAATTTAATGAGTATGTGGGACACAGGTGATGAAATGAATTTACTTAATCTTTTCCTATAAAATTTTTATTCTTTTATCACATCATAATAGTTGTAATTTCTCTATTTTATGACAGTCATTTTGTTGATTAGTGGTAGTATATATCTCCTGAAATATTTCAAAACCATTTCTTTCTTTCTATGCTACTATAATATCAAGGAAATCGAATCAATGTAATCATTTTACTCACGGACAACATCTTTTACAACTAACTGAGAGTGCGTATGACTTTTTCTATTCTTGGGTAAAAATACGGTTATGACTATTTTCTATCATTATTCTAAGTGTTTATTATAAGTTAAATATTTCAACTAATTCTATTTTGCTTATAGTGGGGAAAATGTTTTTACTAGTTTAACAACCTTTGTAAAGATTTCCTACAAATTAATAGAAATTTCCATCACAAATTGATTTTACTTGAAAAACAAAGGTAAACCAGTGGTTTAATTTAATGTTTACTTGGAATAGTCATCAATAATATATATATATATATATATATATATATATATATATATATATATATATGTCAAAGTAAACCAAGGACTGTTATTATTTACTAACTTATAACAGTTTTAAAATCTGGTACTGAAAAACTTTTATGTTCTAAATTTTTGAACTACTCATCGATGCACTCCCACAACCCCGTAAGAAATTAAAACTATGACCTGCATGTTTTGCACTAGTTGTTACACTTTAATTGAAGCCAACTAAACCATCAGTGAATCACATCAACTGAAATCGACAAAGCCATAGTGCTTGTAACGATATTTGAAAGCCCTCTGTTTGTTAAGCTTGATGGACATAGATGTCCTCTGGTCAGGTCTCTTAAACTAAAAGAAAACATTTAGCTAGTACTCTAATTTTCAATGATTTGCTGACTAATATCTATATCAAAGCTAAAAAAAATACCTGTAAATGGTTTTAAAAAATACTGTACATGTACACTGAAGGTACGTAAAATGTTAGCTTACCAGTGATCAATATGATGTAACTTTGACTAATTATGAAAATATTATTATTATTGATGAGTTCATCATATTTTAACTATTTTTATGATTTAGGAGTTTTTCATACTTCCGGTGATTTGAAATTAGATAAACTTTTTCAACATAGAGCACGATAAAAACAAATGATAATCCGTAATTAAAAATATTATAAATATAATGATTATTGAGCTAGTCAAATCTTCACAAAAGAATTAAGTGATGCCTAGCAAAGTAGTTAAAGAGATTTTGTAAAATGTTTTCATAATTAACATTATGATAATCGTTTTTGTTTAAATAAGTAACTACTTTAGAAAAATAATTTATTGATTGACTACTGACCTGAAGTTGTTATAAAGCAATCAGTGACTAGATATATCTACCTATCTATCTGTTATGTATATTCACTGCATTTAAACACCTACAAATGGGGAAATCCATTTTCAGCACAAATGTAAACAAATGAGGAACCTACAAGTTCGTAGGGTTATAAGTCAATATACATTTGCGAAGCATAAACTTGTACTTTGATTTGATGTTTATTTAGAAATGATATCGATTTTCGACATTCAAGTATAAAATGTCAGTAATGTTATCAACTTACATAAAACAGTTTCAAGAGACTGTTAAGCTGACATAAAATATTCATGCAGTCAATGTAAGTATAGTTTAGTAGCCAATACTGCAAAAGAATGATCCAATGGAACAGATTGAATATTTATCAGTTACTTTCGTATTGTTGAGATAAAAAGTTTACCAAATATAATATAAGTATACAAAAAGAATTGAATTTCAATTTGCTATAGCTATTATACCACAATTCAAAAAGACAAGGACTTTTACTGAATTTCATTATTGTGAAACAGTATGTTATTTTAGCATGAGACAAACATTGATTTATGTACATGTTCAGTTTCCATTGAGTGTTCCTTCTATTTGATGTAATCCGGTTAGTTATTTACCGTTAATTTACACGGTACACGTGGCGACTGAATTTAAATATCTAGTCAGCAGCCAGACAAATACGGTGACCCTGAGATCTTAAGTTTGAATCCTACTACAATCATTTCCACTGATTTTTAAGGCCTTAATACATCGTTTATTTATTGACTGTAATGAATATTTGTAGTACATCATCATTGATTAGTTCATTGTTACAGAACTGACAATTCATGATTTTTATTTTGGTTCGACCTAGCTAATACACGAGGTTAATAATAATCTATTGAGAAACATTCAGTTTATCGAATTCATACACTTGGTAAGGTATCGAAATATTGCAACTTGATTGGTATAATATATAGAAATAACATTATTTACCACCAAATGCTAGATTTATGTAAATGTATCAAACCTGCAGGTCAGTTGCTGTAGGAATAATGTCGTGGTGACGTTCCTAGTTGCTACACTTGATGACACAGGTTCACATCTCATGAAAAAGATCAATTCTTAATATAAGGATTTTGAGGTTAGTGAGTTTCATTAAGATCATAAGCCGATCAGTGGTGATCTAAGATTTCCCGTCAATCACTTCCAACGACTTAACATAATATAAACTCCATCACGATGTGAAATCATTTAAACTAGTGGCCTAAAAGTAACCTGATCGATAGAATTCAATCAGTACTAATGGATATATTAAGTGATCACTGGATAATGAACAATGTCATGTTTAATAACAAATATATTTTTGGTTATATCCCAATAAGTAGAAAAATTGTATTTCTGACGCTTCGTTACTTGTACTATTTAAACTTTTATCAATTTGGGTTATTTATTTACTCTGAGGTAGTGGCTTACATTAAGTCACGAAACGTCAGAAATACAGTATTTTTACTCATTGGGACATAACATATAACAAAATATATATTTACTAACATTCTATCCAATGCTCAATTCATTTGAAATTATCAAGCGCAACCTTGATATTGATACCTATAAAGAATGTCATGTTTGTCTAGTCATTAGAACTGATCGAATTCTATGGATGAAGCAGCAATTTGGCTATTGATCTAAGTAAGTTGCATCAGGTTACTATGTTGAAATGTTAGGTAGTTGCAGGTATTTGTATTCGGCAGGAAATTTCGGACTTAAGTTTCATTTTAGTTTGCACTCGTCATTCTGACCGACCTTAAATCATGATGTTCCCTGTACGATTTTACCTCATGTCACCCAAGCTCATTATCATTGAGCTATTTGGACCACCACTGATATTCCATAGAACTTGCAGAACTTAAGGTTAGACGTGGTCCTGGTTACTACCAGATGACCGTTCGGCCTATAACGCAAACAGGTTTAAGCATGATATCAGACATCACAATTTACACTAGGTGCAATACATTTTTCTTCAGTATCTAGTGAATATTACGATATTAAATGACCAGAGACTGTCGTTAAGAATACCAATTTGAACCTAGTTTACTAACGAGAAGGTTATCATCAGCAAAACATACCCATAATTTTAATAGAAGTTATGCACTAGATCATATTTGAACCTGCTTCACTTAGCATAACACTGAATGATATTATCGGTGAAGTATGCGGTCTCTGCATTATATAAGAAAATTTATAGCCTAACAATGATTTTTGTGATAGCTATTAGAACAAATCTAGACTTTAAATTAGTTTTGTGTATTAGTTAACCACACACTGAAACGTTATTGCATTTTTGCCTTCAGTTTTACTACAGTATGTTTATTACATTAATTAGTAACTTTTAGGAAAAAAAAAGGCTTTAATTATCCGTAAACCGACTAAGATAATTGCACTGAGAAAAAGTACTCAATAATAACCTTTTATTGAAGGGGTTACAAACAGTTTCTATCTGTCTTTCTAAATAAACTTATATTATTTTAAAATTATAATTAATATGGTTGATTTTAAATGATGTCAAGGTGATCACTACTGTATTTATAAATTTTTGTTTTAATTAGTCATAAGAAAAAAATACATTGTAGTTTATAGATTTTATTGAGTG